CCCCCCCCCCCCCCCCCCCTTTAAGTGTTATACAGCATTTAAATAATTTACATTCAAATGCATATCTAATTTATATTATAATTATTTAATTTGATTCATATCAATTTAAAATACATTCTAAGCTATATAAGTAATACTACATTATAATACTATTATTTAGCTTTAGAGCTTTAAATACATGCTCAGTGCTTCATGTGGTCTGTAAATGTGAAGTCCTGATTGATCTCAGATCAGTCTGTGATCGGTGTTCGTCGTGACACACTCTTATAAACAGCAGCGTCTGAGACAGAGAATTATTTGAGAGCAAAATCAATAATGTGTGAGATGCAGAATGTCAGTGGAACAGAAACATGTCGATTTGTCTGATTCTGAGCAATGCTTCTGTTTCTGTTGGACTGATTTGTATTTGCCGTCAAAAATGCATGACTAATATATGTTTTCTTATGATCTTTAAAATCGTTTGATCTGCTGAGTTGTGCCTAAATGCTTGGAATTAATTTTATAGATAAATATCCGTTCAAAAGAAAGAAGTCTCTTCTGCTCATCAATTGATTAAAAATACAGTAGGCCTAAAAACTGCAACATTAAGAAATATTATTATAATGTAAAACAGCTGTTTTCTGTGTGAATCTCTGTTAAACTGTAATGTATTTCTGTGATGCGCAGCTGTATTTTCAGCATCATTCCTCCAGTCTTCAGTGTCACATGACCTTCAGAAATCAGTATAATATGCTGATTTGCTGCTCAAGAAACATTTCTGATTATTATATTACAATATTTTTGTGGAAACTGTGATACATTTTATTTTTCAGGATTCACAGATTGATAGAAATTTCAGAAGAACAGCATTTGTTTGAAATAGAAATCACATTATAAATATCTTTACTCACTTAAGATCAATTGTATGTGTCTTTAGTCACTTTTGATCAATTTAATGCATCCTTGATGAATAAAAGTATACATTTCTTAACAAACAAACACACACACACACACACAACTTTCTAACTCTAATGGTTTGAAAAATAGTGTAAATTGTGCTTACATATGTACAAATTTCTTTTTAAAATTTAAATGTATAAGATCGGAAAACAGTGTTTATTTCTCCACCTGTTGGAGTTTGTAATTCCACTTGTTTTATTGCATCACTTTACTATTAAACTAGCACGTGGAAAATAGTACACATAATATATAATTATTTGAGTGTTGTGTAAAGTAAATTGGTAACATGCATGCTTTTTGGGTGAATGCATGTAAAAAATATACAGTGTGTTGGTTTATACCTGGAATTTATATGATTGTGATATTCTAATCAATTGTAGATTAATACAGCATCGTAAGAGCCACTCTCTGTGGTTTTTACCGCGGTGTATGATGTGGAGGTGTTGAGTCTTTGTTTGCGTCTCACCAGGTCCTGGTCTGGTGTTCATTATTTACCCAGAAGCCATTGCTACACTGCCGGGTTCATCAGTGTGGGCTGTGATCTTCTTCATCATGCTGCTGACTCTAGGAATCGACAGCGCTGTGAGTCTCAGGATCTCGTCTGATCTGATCTCAAACACAAGAGTCTGTCAGTACAGTATTAACACTCATAATACATTCAAAAATCTCATTCTGGGTCGATCTGGACCTGAAGAACTGATACATAAAACAGTCATAACTTCATATTTTCCAACTAAAATCATATCATATATGACCGGCAACTTCTCAATAATGAGTGAAAAAAAAAGGATATTTGAATTTTGTAAGATCATATAATTTTACCAGTATTCATTTTTTGGGAATAAATAGAATTGAATTAAATTCTTTGAATTTATAACTCATGATTGGTCAAAAACCATCCAAATTTATGAAACATACACTGTAAATCCCGGTAAATTTACGGTAAAATTCTGGCAACCACAGCTGCTGTTTTTTTTACCGTAAATTTACCGGGATTTACAGTGTATGTTTCATAAATTAATAAAATAAAAATATGGTAGCAACATTTTAGGTTTTATGGATTTAATTTAAATGTACATTTAAATACCATAATTTCATAAATTGATACAATGTTAATATAGCAACCTACTGAAGTACTGGAATCTATTTTGTACCTTTGTAATACACTGATAACCACCAAAAGCAGATGGTGCTGAGTCACATGATGAACCAAAGCCAATCACAAGCAGCTTTTAAATACTAACATATATAGAAGGTGCACACAAACACTAAACTGAAATAATGCAATAAACATTATTTTAACAACATTAGATGTAACATACAACCCTAATGTACAAAACTGATGAGAAAAAACTATTATTTCAATGAAAAAACAAAATTTGAAATGTAACGCAGTTAATTATGGAAATGCCAATTTACGGTTCCCTTTTGATACTTCACTCTTACTGTGTCTTGCTTAAGACGCATATGGGGAAAAAAACTTTTTTTCTCCTGAACTGAAGCCTATTTCATTCACGCAGTGAAACTGCACTGCCATTGGTTCGTGCAGGGCTTTAAAAACGAACCAATGGCGCGGCAGCGGAGCTGCATGAGCCTATGACGACGAATCCCACCAAAGCCCGCCAGAATGGGCTGGGCATCTGGCTAAATAAGCGGACGCTCGCCACAGGATTCTCAGATTTTTTCTCCTTCAGCGACGACTCTACGTCTCAAGCTGATCCGAAGCCGCTCGCTGTTGACACTCCTTCGCAGCTGGAATCGGAACCTCTCAGCTCGGCTGACCTGCTTCTCCACTTCTTCAGCGACGCAGCAATTCCGGTCCGGTTCCCCTGCCGCCATCCGGCGACTTCAAAGAGCTTCTAAAAGAGCAGCGGCGTTATTGTGGCTCGTGCGGGTCTCCCCTGCATGCCGATGACGGCCACAAGGAGTGCGTTTCCTGCTTGGGGAAACCCCATGCGGAAGCTGCGCTCACAGGAGCTATTTGCTCTCATTGCGAGAGTTTTAGTCTCGCCTCTCTCCGAGCGGGGGAAAGGGGTCGAACGATCGGCCACGAGCGAGCTCACGCCGGCCCAGATCCCACGTGCCTCGCTCTCGCCGCAGAGAGAGTGTTCACCCGTCCTTTTCTCCCGGTCTGATCAGCGTCCCTCTGCTGATGTGAGCGACCCGATCTCATTCGGGGGAAGTGGAGACGAGCTGCTTGATGACAGCATGTCACTGGCAGCATCGGATGCAGAGGAGCTGTTGGGCTC